TCCGCCAGGGAGCGACAGTTCCCTCAAGATTACAGGTACACCTTGCTGACGAGTGCCAAGTAGCACGAAACCCGGGTCCAGGGTTTCCTGTTGACTACCTCCAACCACCATCTAATCTCAATACATAGTGCCCGCAGTGTCGAGTCACCTAGACTGGTGGCCACATTGCAACATGATCGATAGCATTCGATCTGCACTAATAAGGACTAGACAAGCATGAGATTGATCACCACCCAGTGATCAATCAATTGTGAGTAAATACTTAATTTGCGAAACATCAATCAATTGTCACAAACTTGACAGTATCTTTTGCAAATATCAATCAATCGTCTCAAACTTCATTGTTTTTTCATTCTCATACCAATTGATTGCTGTTCCGTTTCTTTCCTTCTTGATCTTTTACTGTCAGACATTCTAATCCTCACTATGGGTTATATACTACTCATATTGATATAAATGGCACACACCATGCAAAGATGAAACTTCTATATATGACTTTCTGGTTTTTAATATTTGTTTAACTAATGTCATATCGTAATATAAATCATAACATCGAAAATACCATTAAAGAAATATATCAGAATGGGTTTTGTGGAGATTTTTAGAAATTTCACAGGTTGAAATCATGAGTCAATTGAAGCTAGACCACCATGCAAAACCTGGAAGCACTGGACGGCCGTTTCGCCGTTACCAGTGGAGTTCAACTAGTTCTGTTGTGAGATATCAGCTCACTGAAGACAATGGTGTACGGTGGCGTAACTTCGTGGATTGGTTGAAGTTAGAAATTAACACCGTTTAATGCCCGCTCAGCGGTCTGATGGTTAAGTGCTCGCGCGCGAAAGCAGGAGGTCCTGGGTTCAAATCCCGTGGGGTGCGGTATCGTGGATGCGCACTGCTGAGGAGCCCCATACTAGGACGAAACGGCCGTCCAGTGCTTTCAGGTTTTCTAAGGTGGTCTAGCTTCAATTGACTCATGATTTCAACCTGTGAAAGAAATATATGTTATACAAATAATAAGGTTACATTTTCTTGAAAGAATTCCACTTATTTACAAAATTATCTAATTACTTAAACTTCAGTTTAATTAAAGGATAATTTTCACATCATATATATATATATATATATATATATATATATATATATATAAGTGGATTGTATGTCCACGTATGCACATGTATATACGTTTGTACCTGTTTAGCTGTTGTTTGTATGCAATTTGGCAGGAATATGTATTAGTTTAGATGGAAATTTCAAGTGGATTCAACAAATCATACCCCATTAAAACAATAACAATAATAATAATATTGGTAACACGAGAAATTTATGTGCATACCAGTTAATTTCCATGATCAAATAAAGTGATTTATGTGTAGATGTATAAACCAATAATGAATGACAATAAATTAAAATGATACATCATACATGGGAATAGGGGGCATTAATAATAATAATAATAATAATAATAATAATAATAATAATAATAATAATAATAATAATAATAATGTAAATATTTATGTATCTACCTGTTTTCATTTATTTATTCAGTTTTCTTTTACATTAAAATTTATCATCTGAACTATTAGGTCATGATCAATTAAGTTCAATTTACTTTATAGGAAGAAAAAAAAGTATGTGTATATATGTATATGCAAAGATGGAATAGTGTCTAGCAGTGGAATCCAAAATGTACATTTCATCTTGTTTAGAACTCATCAACTGGATCTATCTACATCTAAGAGTTGATGTTCACTCTGTAACTTGAATTCAGTACCGTTCACTACAAACTCCATCATGTTATTCATATAGCTACTAACTTCATCTTTGCTTATCATGCATGTGAATGAAAGCAATATCAAGACAATACACAAAGTATGCATGTATACCAATAAGAAACTGATCAATTACAGTCTTAAACATTAATTGAAAGATTCATATAAACAATACCAAGTGAATTGATGTGTATATATTTCTAATATTAAACAATCATAAATAATTAATCCGACATAATTTATTCACATTTATTCAAAATATCCAACCATTTATAAATACCTTTCAAATTGGATAATATAATATCATAAACAGTTTATGTTTTCTTTTCTCTGTTCCTCACTTTCATAATAGAAAACAAAACAAAACAATAATGCAGTTTCCTCATAAATCAAAATCAAATCCCTTTTTAGATGACAATACATGATGCTTATTGCTTTACTTAGTCATTACATTAATAGAAGATTATTCAATATGATTTCGAATGGATATGATTGTTTTGATAAGAATTCAGTGAAGTATGTAATCAATATATAAGATTAATTATATTTGAATTTATAAAGTTAAATGAAACAAGTTTAAAACTATCTTAGTTATAATTTAACCTATAATGATCAATCTGATTAAGACAATTTTTTTTAAAAAAGAGGGAGGTAACCATCGAAGATAATGGATGATGATTACACAATATCTTGGATTGACTGAATTTTGACTTTTATACCGCCGAATAACGGCTCAGTGATTTAGAGGGTAAGCGTTCACGTGCAACACAAAAGGTTTTGGGTTCAGTTTTTAGTGAGGAGGTTATGCATGCGTACCATTGAGGATTCTCATAATACAACAAGGCGGCTATCCAGTTCTTTCAACTTTTCATTGATTACCCCCAAATGCCTTAGTACGGCCGAGGTTGATAACAGTCTACTCTTCCTTTCGAAATACTCTCACTTGGCCACACTTATACAGTCACTACCAAGGAAGTCCTACTCATTACCTTCCCGTGGCGGGAGTGTAGTTTAAAAAATTGAGGGGACGAAAAGCGAATGTCCTGCGCTTTAACCGGATTGGCGGACACGGTGAGTCCACCTAGGGGAGTCAAAAAACCCTGATTCCAAATCAATGGTGCATATGAGCTCCAGTATCTTGAAGGAAAAATGGCATGTAAACCAATCGTTGGTGACACGCTACCATGGGAATGCATCTCCTTACGTTGCTCTACTGCCTTGTGGATCAGACCTTTAGGTCGAGCACCCATGTAGTATCACAACCCACACATATATCAAGTGACTTGTGTGGCGTATATATATTCGGTCCCCCTTTATGCCAATATTTGTGTTCAAATAAATAAATAAAGCTGAATTGATTCGTAATTTCAATAAAGTTTAACAGTTTCCACAATATCCATACTTGATAAATTCTATATTGGAACATGTTTACTTTGGTGAATCCACTAAGATGTCTTAATGTCTACTTTTATATTTCACAGAAAATAGTATCCCTTAATCACATAATAGTAGGTCATCACTCTCAGCAGCATCCACATTAGTGGTACAAATATCAACCTAGAATAAACGATCACTGAATAAAGACAACTATAATGTTTACTTGGTCCTTAGTGTTGGTTGAATCCTATGTATCAAGCAACGATATGGTAACTAGTTTAAATAGTTAAACATCTGGTGGACTACATGAAGATGCCGAGTGTCTGGAAATAATCGGGAAGAAAACATGAACTGAGTTAGCGTATTACAGAGAGCACCAGTTCTCTCAAGATTAAAGGTACCCCTTACTGATGAGTGTTAAAGGGAGTACAATTTAATATTTCAACTATTATTCTGAATGTTGGTTACAACGAATACATAATTAAAGAAGTTTACTTTCAAATTTCTAATCGTCATTCTTTACAGTATATTTAATAGATGGATAGCAGTGGAACCCAGTATATACGTTTATTCCTATATGATACTTGTCAGCTAAGTGTTTCTATGTCCGAGTTTGATGCTTGCACCGAGGGATCGGTCACTTGCAACGTGAATTTATAAATCCATTCTTGATAGTTAAGCAAACGAAAAAAGTGGGAAAATTGGGAACTTTAAACCTGCTCACTCAATAAACACTCGATAACAGAGGAAGTGGAATAAATTATTTTCGAGCATTTCGTCGTATGAAATTTGACTTGAATATGACTGAGACAACTGGTTTTTATCTTATCAAACAACATAATACTTCAAAGGAAATTTTATAATCACTAACAATAAATTAACCACTGAACACAGTCTACAGTTTGATTTCACGTGATTGACAAATAATTGTTCATTCTCCTATTCTGAATGTCAAGTAATATTTATTTCATAGTTTGTATTAAGGACTGACCTTGGTTGGATAACCATTGAGAACCAGGAAGCACTGGCACGCTGTTTCATTCAGTTATGGAACTCCACAACATCATGACACCACGTTCTCACTGGTATGAATGAACCCATGACCTTCAGGTCTCACAGTTAGTTGCTATAAAGAGATTAACCTATTGCAAGCCAACGTTTATGAGGAGCATGTACAGAAATCCGTTTAAAAGTTTTCCCTTCAATACTTGTTATACACAAACTTAAATATAAATGTATAGAATCAGTCATTTAAGCATGAGTACTCATAGTTCTAAACTGATTCAATATACAAATACTGATATTTACTAAACTAAGTTTAATTTCACTCAAACTTCATTGACGAATTCAATTTTTATTTTGCTCTCAATTATCTTGTGATAAATGACAATTAAAAAAATCTAAATCTAATATACGGCTGTAATTAAAAATTTGAGTTGCATTTTGTTCCGTATATATACATACGATATAAGTATTTGATATTATCACCCTCAAAGATAAATTATTTCCCTATTTAAGTAATGGATAAACAAATACCATGATTAACCAATCAGCGAACAGACCGTTGATTGACTGAAATTTGATTGGTTAATCTACTACAGTTCCGTTTATTTTTCTTGTAAATTATAATAAATATGTTTATCGATAAATACCAGATAGAATGTGTGTATACAGTAAATAAATTATTAATCTAAAGTGTGTGTGTGCGTGCGTGCGTTTGAGTGAGTGAGTGAGTGTATATACATATATATTTACCATGAGAACAGTTTAATGAATAATATTTAAGAAGAAGAAACAAAATAACAAACATTTTTTTTATTTATTCATGTCATTATTATAATTAAAAGTTGATAAATGCAAACAGCTAATTATTTAACGAATATTTCATGTAATCTATCAGAAATCGACAGTAATCTATCTACAACATCATCATCATCATCATCATCATCATCATCATCATCATCATCAACAACAACAACAACAGACAAATTGAATTCATCATCATCATCATCATCATCATCATTTTTAATTACAGATATTTTAGCTTCAAATAATTGTATTAATGAAATTGTACATTTAACAAATGATAATCAGTCTACTGATGAAATGATTTCAGTACAAAGACAAAATCGACAACAGTATGACAACGAAAATGTTAAACAGTTTCAGTATGATAATGATATATCAATGAAATTATTTACCGATTATCATGACAATAATAATAATAATAATAATCTTCATGCTAATATTGACAATATTCATATATGGCAAATATTATTTGAATCATTATTGACTAATTCAACATTAAATATAGAACAATTAGAATATTTGTTACCATTAACACAAATGTCACAAAATGAATTTCCTAATTTCTATAAAGAGAAATTACAAACAACTCAAGAAACATTTCAATATCTACCATTTGAATTATCACAACAATATCAACAATTAAATGAAAGTATTGGACTTAAATCCACTACCAATTCAAATGATATTCATTCATTGAAACAATTATCTCAGGAAATTTGGCGATTATTTCAAGAAACATCACTAAATAATAATAATGATCTTAAGGAAATAGAGAATCATTCTATAACGAATTATAATGAACAACAATTAAATTATCAAAATAAATTCAAATTATTCTTGACAAAATCATATGAACGATATTGCCGCCATACAATGGATCATTTAAAACAAACGGAGAATTCAATTCTCAATACCGATCATCATCATAATAATAGCAGCACCGATGATATGGATTCTAAAAATAAACCCCCAAAAAGAGAAGAAAAACAAGAACAAAATAGTTGTCAAGAGGGGGATTTAAAACTATTAAATTTAAATGATGGTCATTTTAAATCTTTTACAAAAATTGATAAAATAAAAACTTATCAATTATGGTTTAATTCATTAAATTGTTTAAATACACAACAAAAATTATATCATTTATATAAAACGAATTATTTCATTAAAAATTATTGTCAAAATGTGGAACATTTAAAAATGAATGAAAATGATTCATTGAAAAGTAACAATAGTGTAAATAATAATACAATCACTACTAATACTACTCATAATAGTAATGATAGTGCGATTAATAATAATAATAATCATAATCATACTGTTAATAGTGATATGAATGATACGAGTAATATTCATAACTTATCGATACCTTCAAATTCTGCCTTAGATGCTTTAATTCATATGACCACATCTACAATGCAACAATTAAAACATGATGGTGATTTCTCAGGTAATTATTTAAATTAAATTTCCTTCTTTTTTCATTATAAATAACCATTGAATTATAATATTAGATTCAAATTACAGATATATCTTATTGAAGAATATAAAATAGTACGAATTCTAGATGATGTATTGTATCCAACCGACTAACATGGAAATATATTCCATGAAGTGTTAAGTCAGATAGACTAGAGATAACTTTTCGTTGTTTATTTTTATTTTAACACATAGATATTGGTACAAGGATGCACTAAATACATATGCGCCACACGAATCTCATTCGATATGTGTTAGGGCTGTGATACTGCCCGGGTGCCCAAAACGAAGCAGGTGGTTATCTTAGGGGGCCGCTCCCGGAGCCTTTGACCTGAAGGTCTAACCCACAAGGCTGTGGAGCATCGTGAGGAGATGCAGTCCCATGGAAGCCGGTGACCAATGATTGGTTCATACGCCATTTGTCCACACAGGAAACTGGAGCCCATGTGCACCATCAGTTTGGAATCCGGTTAAAGCACCGAATATTCGCTTTTCGTCCTCTCATTTTTGTAAACAACACCCCCGCCACGAGAAGGCAGTGAGTAGGACTTCCCTGGCAGAGGCTATATACGCGTGGTCATGTGAGAGCATTTCGAGAGGGAGAGCGGATTCTCCCCACTCTCGGCCATACCAGGGCATTTGGGGGCACTAGAGATAACACTTTATGTTGATTAATACAATCCGATCAATGCTAAAGGATTAGACAAACATAATATTAACATGATGATCTATTTTTGTAAGATTCAAATGAGCACACATTTGAGTTTATGATGTTAAACTACATGTTCAGGATAAACAAAAACAGATAATCAAATTAAATTAACACAAATTTAAATAGTAAAAAGTAACATTAAGTTCAGTCATCTGAAGAATTGGCCTATTTTTAATAGTTAAGTATATGAGTTGATCTAAACTAGATCACTATTGAAAATATGGAAACACTGGACTACCATTTCATTCTAGTATAGTCTTCCTCATCAGATGGACATTGGCATCGTTGGGTGCCAGCTCAGTGATCTTAAGGTTAAGTGTTTGCGCGTGAGATCGAGGATCCTGGGTTCGAGTCCAATTTGAGAAATCATGGATGAGCATTGCTGAATAGTCCTATACTAAAACGAAACGATCATTCAGTGCTTTTAGTTTTTCAATACTGGTCTAGCCTAGATCGACTCATGAATTCATTTATTAAAATTACTACAATCTCCACAAATCCCCACTTTGATAATTGGCTTATATTAAGTCATAAAATGTCAGAATTTCACATTTCTACTTATTGGAATCTGATAAGTATATCATTTATTTTATCATTAAATTTTCACTTAATACTTACTTTATTTGGAACTATCACATCCAGCTTTAATGTTGATAGTGACAAACTATACAGTATTCAATCCCTTGTAAAATGATGCATTTCTTACGATTACAGTAATATTTACTGATCGCAAATTATATGTATAAGAGTTGTATGTATGAATGATAGGCGAAGTTCTATTATCTAGTATGATACTACTAATTAAGTGAACTTTGATTTTTAATGATTACTCAAGTTGGTGACTAAAATTACTTCTTTTTGGCAACATTCAGCTAATTAAATTAAATATACAATTGATTATGACGTACTGTATATGAATATTTAGTTGTTACATTTGTCTGCCGAATAATTTGTCATTAAAATTTCAATGTCTGATGAATAATAAGCAGATATGATGTGAGTTTTTAGTCTATGATCTATCATCAATAGTGATGTAAACATCATCTGTATAGAAAATATCAAGTTCTAATGAAGATAGCTACATTCATACCAATTTGATATAACATGGTAATTAGAGATCTTCGTAAATTCTCATTTATCTTTTATTTATTCATGAGTAATCATTGTTAGAGAGACAGTGATAAACATTTCTAATCGTACACACATAGTTAGATACAACCCCCAAATGACCTGGTACAGCTGAGGGTGGGGACATTCAACCCTGCCTTCTGAAATGCTATCGTATATACTGTCACTGTCGGGGAAGTCCTACTCACTGCCTTTTCCTGGTGAGAGTATTGTTTACGAAATTGAGGGGACGAAAAGTGAATATTCGGCGCCCTAACAGAGTTGATGGATATGGAGGATCCACCTGAGGGAGTTTGGTGGGCGATCTATGCTTCTCCACGAGGAGTAACAGGCGTCAATAAGTAAGTAACTAATTAACCTAAGGGAGTTGAAAGACCCTAATTCCAAAACAATGGTGCACATAGGCTCCAGGATCCTAAGGGGATAAATGGCGTATGAACATACTGTTCGTCACCGGTTATAATGGGACTGTATCTCTTAACTCTGTTCCACTGCCGTGTGAATTAGACCTCTAGGTCAAAGGCTACAGGAGTGGCCTTTTAAGATAACCACCTCTGTCAGTTGGGGCACCCGAACAATATTCCAGATCTCATTCATATCAAATGTTTTGTGTGATGTATATATATTTGGTGCCTCCTTGTACCAATGTTTATTTGTTAAAATAAATAAAAATTATATATATAGCAAAAACCATAAGATGTCTAACTTATCAGTTCATGAGAAATTTACCAGGTCTTATTTTAATCTCAATTTAAATGTCTAAACAAATAATCCCTTATTATGTGTTACTAGTTGAAATCACGAGTCAGTTGAAGCTAGACCACCATGGAAAACCTGGAAGCACTGAACGGCTATTTTGTCCTAGGACGGAACTCCTCAGCACTGAGCATCCACGATCCCGCCTCGTGAAATTCGAACCTAGGGTCCTCGGGGGCACGTGCGAACGCCTAACCTTTAGACCACTGAGCCAGCATATAACGTTATTGATGTCTAACTTCAACCAATCCACGAAATTGCGCCACTGTCCAGCATTGTCTTCAGTGAGTTACTATCTCACAAAAGACCCGGTTGAACTCCACTGGTCACTTCTTCTTACTAAAACTCCAGGATATACCACTTGGAGACCGTCACTCGTCCAGTTTTGGGATCTCAATTAACCATTGAAAGGCTCCAGACGAATTTTCTGTTCTATACCATTGATTAAATAACTAATTTGATCATTGAACAGGAGTGATTTTTAAAATCGCTTACTAACTACTATATTATTTGCTGATACCTTATACATGAACTTTTGAAATTTGTTTTACTCTAAGATTCTAATTTACATTCATTCGAACTCATCAAGATGACTATTATAATTTAAATCATGCTAAGTTTATTTATTCTATAATTTGATTCAAATGACGTATTACTCCATCTAATTCATAATTTAAGTTTTCTAACAGAAATATTGAATTAACTGATGTTTAGTATTGTGCTTAATTAGCTCACTGTTTGCTTACTGTAAGGAATCTATGCTCAGTATAGGAAAATGTCAATTATTACTTCATTTGAAAAGGTTTTGTGAAGGTCTCCATGGACCGTATTCATTTGAGGTATCTTGTAAAGCTAAAGAGACCTAGATAACTGTATGCATGCGTGATGGGACTGTAGTTAAATCCAGGACATTTAGGTGTCGTAGTGAGAAGCCATGATTATCAGAGTTTAACCACATTGGGATTACGACAGTTACATATAAACAGTAGTGAAAAATAGAATTTATTCAAATTAGAAATGAAAACCATTGTATACTAAATTATAAGTTAATCGAAACCTGGAAAATCTTTGGTTCGACCTTCAGTGCGGTTGCTGGCATCCACTACGAAAGGATCTAATACTAAAATACAACATCTTTCCTCTGCTTCCTGCTTTCTAATGGTTGTGTAACTTAGGTCAGCCTACCATTTAAATCCTAAAAGTTATTTTGTGTGGTTTAATGTTTTATTTATGTACTGTCATTACTTAAATAGGTGATATATAATCCTGTATAGTATATGTTAAAAGGGCTTATAGGCAGTTTCCAGTTCACTAATCACATCTCTAATCAATGCATAAACAGAACAGTATTCTATTTTAGAATAACATGTATTTCATTGCACTCCTAATCATTAAAGTAAATTTTCAGTATGCCATTAAATCTAGATAATGTGTATCATGTATTGAACATCGTCAACTAACAGGAAATTCCTCTTTATAATTATTCAACTGTCTACTTTGTTAGTGAACAATACAGTTTTTCTTTATAATTCCTAGATTGTCAGTAGTTAAGATTATTGGTTGTCAATTCATTCAAATAAATTACCTATTGTGAATCTATTCTAACACATTCAATTTCATGCAGAGTGAAGCTTCGATTCATCTATCTATCTATCTATCTACCCACCCATATGTATGTATGCAGTACAATCATACACATGAATGAATATTACGCTAATCATGAGTTAAGATGATTTGTTTGCTTTTTTTTTCATTTCTTGAATGTAATTTATTTGAATTGAATTATAACACAACCTAATAAGATATTTTGAAGGAAAACTCTTTGACTGTTTGGTACTTTGTCTCATTACCCTTAGTTACTAAACATGTTCAATAATTTATATTTCATTACTGTATAGAATGAGTTACAAATTGTTTTAATTATCATTATACAACTATATTTTATTATATGAAAATCACTTCTATCAAATAGTAATACTGACAAAATAATAACTGAACTTAATCAGAAATGAATTGATAACAGTTTTCTAAATATAGAACTACTTAGTAGTCATCTGATTGCACAAATTAGTAGCTATCAGAACTCAATAGCTAAGTGGATAACGAGATGTTGTAGTAAACGGTGCTAGGTTCTCGTCTCAGAGTAAATATCAACTCCAGGATGCAGGTATATCCAGTTGACGAGTCCCAAATAGGATGAAACACATGTCCTGGATTTCATTGTTAGCCATCATCCATTTTTGCTACTCAGTAGTAATTATACATAATTCTATCATTCACTGGAACATAGAACACTATTGAGTCTCATAATTTTAAAGAAAAATATTGATGTTTTTGAAATCACTTTTGAAATGATCTTTTAATAAAATATCCAT